GGACATTAATAATGATGCCTACTGCCAGGGCTTCGTCTGCCCATCTTTCCCCTTCATTTTTAATACTTAATTATCTCCTTAATGAGCAACCAGTATACAGGAAAATGAAAAAACACCAAAGAGCCATGTGTCAAAGGGCGCTGCTGGCCTTTTGATGTGAAAAACAGCTCGCCCTCTCTCTCTCTCTCTCCCTGTCCCTCCCTCCCTCCCTCCCTCCCTCCTCTCTCTCCTGTGTGTGCTTATGCATGTGCAGAGACACATGTACATATGGGTACATGTGCACATGTTTGTATGCACGTTGAGGCCAGGGGCCAGCCCTGGATGTTGTCCCTCGGGCACCACCCACTTCGGAGGCAGGGTCCCTCTCTGGCCTGGAACTCAGAAGGTAGGTTAGGTTGGCTGGCCAGTGAGCACTAAAGATTTGCCTGACTCCGCCTCCCCGCTCTGGATCGCAAGTGCGCACCACCATGCCGTCATCACTCCAGGACTTGGCTATGACCATTGGCTTGTGGTGGCCAGCCATCTTTCCTGCCTAAGCTGGTTCTTAATGGATGCCCAGGAACAGTGTGCAAGGCCCCCCTCTGAAGCCTCCTGCAGGCTCCCCCATCCTCCCTCTTCCCCAGACTCATCTCTGCTAGACAACGGTGCTTGCAAAATGGTCCCTTCCCTCCTGGTCCCACAAAGAAGACTGATGGAGCAGAATCACTGCAAATTGCATTCAAATGGCTCCTGCTTTTTCCAGGGTACCATCTGCCCGAGCTTCTTACCCACTGCGCCTTGTGAGCACCCTGGCTGATCATGTGGCTCCATATAAAGTCATTTCTGAAATCACCTCATTCCAAACTCACACCTGAAAGTCACTCTCCCTGCTGCTGAAGACCCTGGAAACGTACAAGCCTTGAAGCCTGGCTCTTGCTTTCCTCCTCCTCACCCACCTCAGCATACCTCTGTGTCCTCAAAAGCACTGGAAATGCTCCCTGGAGATAGATGGATGCCACGTGATCCCTGCACAGCAGGGAGGTCAGGCTGCACTGACCCCCTCCATTTCATAGATGGAGACTCACTCAAGAACAGACAGCAGGGGCTGGAGAGATGGCCCAGCAGTTAAGAGCAGTGGCTGCTCTTGCAGAGGACCCAGGTTCCATTCCCAGTAACATGACAGCTCACAACCTTGTAACTCCAATTCCAGGGGCTCTGACGCCCTCTTCTGGCCACCATGTGGACTTCATGCACATGTGCACTTAAATACATGCAGGAAAAATACTCATACACAAAAAATAAATAAATCAGTAAAAATTTAAAGCTGGGTGTGGTGGTACACACCTATAATCCTAACTCTCAAGAGGCAGAGGCAGGTAGATCGCTGTGAAATCAAGGCTACCTAGGATGGTCTGCATAACAAGTTCCACACCAGCTGGGGCTACACAGTAAGACCATATCTCAAAAAATAATTACATCTATCATAGCCAGGTTAGGGCTTGAACCCAAGACTCTGGATCCTTGAGCTCCCTCTGACTGCCCCGTGCTCCAGCCTATACTGCCCAGGGGTTGGGGTGGGGAAATCACCTTGACACAACATCAGTGTGTCCTGAGACACCAGTCTAGTGCCAGGGTCCCTGGAAAACTGTCGTATTCTATGAGGAATCAGCACAAGGCTGCAGAGGCCTGTGGGAAGGCACTCTAGAGGACAGGGAGGAAAGATGTGGCAGCCAACGACTGTTTTAGTTAGTTTTCTATTGCTGTGATTGAAAAAAAACACTGACCAAAACCGACTTGGGGAGGAAAGGGTTTATTTGGCTTATAGCACAGTCCATCAAGAGAAGCCAGGGCAGGAACCTGGAGCACAGACCACTGAGGAACACTGCTTACTGGCTTGCTCCCCTGGCCTGTGCTCAGCCTGCTTTCTTATACAACACAGGACCACCTGGCCAGTGTTGACATCATCCACAGTGGGCTGGGCCCTCCCACGACACTGAATAATCAAGACACTACCATACAGACGGCCACAGGCCTGTCCAATGGAGGCAATTCCTCAACTGAGGTCCCCTGTACCCGGGTGTGGGGTCTCTCCCTTCCCTCGTGGGTTGCTGGCCACTGGTCCACGAGGACAAAGGGGGCAGAAGCGACGAACGGGGTCCGAATGGCCAGTGAGCACTGACGGAAGAAAGCCCTTCCGGGGAGGCAGGTTCAGTGATGCAAACAGCTCCAGACTCAGTGAAACAGCTCCGTTTATTCAGTGGGGATTAGGGAAAATATAGTGTGGAGGCAGTAGCCAATGCTTCAGCTGATAGGTGCTCATAGTATGCTTTATTTACATGTGGCAGTGAAGGCTCCTGTCATCCGACTACCGGGCAATGCCTAGTTATCATATAGAAAAAACCTGGGGGTAGTTTTTACTCCAGGTAACTGTGCCAAAGGTCATGTTAAATGAGGCCAAGCATCCGTGCTTAGCGGCACTTTCCAGGTAAGTCAGGCAGGAAGCCCCTGCAGAGTAAGGAGCCAACCTTAACAGCAGGGTTCCCCAACACTCGGGTGTGTCCAGTTGACAAGTGATGCTGTCCAGCACGATGACACTTAGTGAAGTTCCTAATTCATCCAGTGTGACCCCAGGTTCCCCAGCATCAGGATGGGGTGAGGGATGGAGTAGGAATAACTGCACCGTCAGGCCTCCCCAGGACGCAGCTGTGTCAGAGACTCAGGAGTCCACTGACTGGGTTGGGAAGGCCTTCATGGGTACCAGCAGAGCCAGCTGAGAAGTCCTGAGTCCTCCCTGGCCAGCTGCACCCCACCATCCACTCCAGGTCACCCCCCGTCTTCCGTCTGTATCTTCCCCTCTGGTGCCTGCATCCTGCTGAGACTTCCAACACGTCAACACACTCTGTTCTCAGTCGAGTACACACGTGTTTCCCATGTCTGCATGTCTTCAGGTTCCTTGGTTCCTTCGTTCTGCCTGTCTAAGAACACAGAGCTGGTTGGGGTGACAGTGGCCTGATGGGTGGACCCCTGGCGTCCACTGTGTTGCCATTACTTTAAAGGCAGTCCTTTGCTATACCAGCGAGACCCCTGGAGATCACTGCTGAGTCCCAGACCCTGATTACTTACACGTGGACAGCTTTTCTTCCCTAGACATGTAAGAAACACAGTAGAGGCCAGGTCAGGTAGGGGACACCTGTAGTCCTAGCACCTGTGAGATGGAGGCAGGGAGATCCCAATTTAAAGCCAGCCTGGACTATGTAGCAAGGCCCTGTATCAAAAATAAAATAACAGGGACTGGAGAGACGGCCCTGCGGTTAAGACCACTGGCTGCTCTTGCAGAGGAGCTGGGTTCAACTCCCAGAACCCACATGACGACTAACAACCATCTATGTCTCCAGTCCCAGGGGAATATGATGCCCTCTTCTGACCTCTATGGGAATTGCACAACACGGCCACACTTAACATACATTCGGACAATACACTCATACACATAAAATAAAAATAGTAATGAATAAAATATTTTTAAAACCCACATGGTAGGGGCTGGAGCCCCTTAATGGCTCCCCTTAATGGCTCAGAAATTAAGAACACTGACTGTTCTTGCAGAAGACTTCGGTTCAAATCCCATACTGACATGGCAGCTAACAACTGTCCATAACTCCAGTTCCAGGGGATCCAACAGCCTCTTCTGTTCTCTGCGGGCATTGCATGACACGGGTGCACTTACCTACATGCAGGCAATACATGCATACACATAAAATAAAAATAAATAATAAATAATAAATATTTTTTAAACCCACATGGTAGGATTTTTCTCCCTGTACTAGACTTCAGGCCCTACAGTGCTCATCTCTAGTTAACTCAGACGAGTGAAGACTTATGGGATTGGAGGGATAATGGGGCTTCTGATTGGCGCCTGGTTTCTGTCTTCCTTAGTCATGGTTGGCTTTGGTTGTCAGCTGTCGTCTTGACACCCCTGGGCAGAGGGAGCCTCAACTGGTAATTTCCTCTATTGGACTGGCCTGTGGCCATGTCTATGAGGCATTTTCTTGATTGTTGAGTGATGTGGGAGGGCCCAGCCCACTGTGGGTGGTGCCACCCCTGGTCAGGTGGTCCTATATTGTATAAGAAAGCAGGCTGAGCTAGGGGCCAGGGGAGCAAGCCAGTAAGCAGCATTCCTCCATGGTCTGTGCTCCAGCTCCTGCCTCCAGGTTCCTCACCAGGCCTGTGCATGTGTGTGCATGCTATGAACAAGTTTCCTCTGGCGCTCTCTGTAAAGTTATATGAAAATGGTCACCTACAGAACTTGGGGGACAGGCCAGTTAGTAAAGGGCTTGCCGCACAAGTATGACAGCTGAGTTCGATCTCCAGAAACCAGGTAAAATGAGCTGGGTGTGGTGCTGTGTGCTTGTAATCCCATGAGGTAGAGACAGGGTTCCTCAGGCTCCTTGGCCAGTCAGGCTAGCCTACTCGGTGAGCTCCGAGCCAAGGAGAGAGCCTCTCAAAGAACAAGGGAGATGGCATCTGAGGAGTGATGCCCGAGGTCGACTTCTGATCGATCCCTCTCTCCCCACCCCCTGGTTCCATAAGAGACCTCGTCTGAAAAATAAGATGGAGAGCAATAGAGAAAGGCACCCAACATCCTCCTCTGCACCTCCACATGTATGTGCACATGCATCCACACATGCGTACATATACGATGCACACCTATGCCACAAAAAGTGTGTCAAACCTAATAGGAAATTAAAAGAGATAATTAGAATGTAATGATCCCCATTTAGGGGGAAAAATGTTCCTTAGTTTGTGCACAAGAACCAGTTTCACACAACCAGCCTGTTTGGCTGAGCTTTGGTTTACTGTGTCAGGGCTGGTGGTAGGAAGCCGACATTTCCTGTGCCCCGTGGTGGGAGCAGGGCTGTACCCAGGGCCCAGGAGGGTGGCTCAGAGATCGCAGCAGGTGCACAGGCCGGAGGGTTCTAAGGGACCGTGCGGCTGGTCACCATTCCTCCTTCATCTTCCCACAGAGGAGATTCTGAAGAGCCACATCGCACACTGGTGGTCTCCAGATGGCACGAGGCTCGCCTACGCCACCATCAATGATTCCCGAGTTCCCCTCATGGAACTGCCAACCTACACGGGCTCCGTCTACCCCACCGTGAAGCCCTACCACTATCCCAAGGTAGGCAAAGAGCAGGCTCAGCCAAGCCTGAATCATTCATGAGCTGACTTCCCACCCCCTGCTCTGAGTGCAGAGAGGTGATAATCAGACGTGTTTACGAGCAACTCCGTAAACACCCAAAAGATTATCTCTCATTAAGCCGCATTAAAGTCCCAGCTTTGTTGAGTTGAATTTGTTGACAGGTTTACTTTATTTTAAGTAATTGAACAACTGTTTATCATTTGTCTAAGTTGGTTAGAAGCCAAATAAATACATTGCCCCCAAACATGACTCCAAGTGACAAAATTCCCCCAATACCCATATGTTGAGACCCCAAGGTGATCGCGTTCAGAGGCAGGGTTTTTGTAAGGCGATCGGGCCGTGGCTGGTGAGCCCTTCACATGGGGTCACGTGAAGGAAACGGCAGAAAACGTTCTCTCCCATTCTGACTACGTGGAGATGCAGTGAGGAGGCCCCATCTATGAAGCCAGGGCCCTCACCAGCTGCCGAGTCGGCAGTCCGCTGATGTTGGACTCCCGGCTCCAAAACTATGAGGTTTGCAGTCCTGTTGTTTGAACCAGCCGCCCAGCACTTGCCATTTTGTTACGGTAACCCAAGTGGACAAAGACCCAAGCTGCTAGAACAGCAAAGGGTGCAGTGGGTCAGAGGGGTCCTCCAGACCTCAGCCCTCCATCAAATCACAGCATCCAAGCACGAGGCAGGTCCTGAGTCTGAAACGGCCACAACCCACTCACCTGGAGGGAGGTTGGCATCAGGAGTGTGGGTTTTGTTGCTGGGACACATGTAGCCAGATGTTCCACTGCCCAGCAAGAGGGAGTTCACTGGCAAGCCAGCCTGGCCGAATTGTGGTGCTCTAGGCCAGGGCGAGTCCCCATCTAAAAAAAAGTGGATGGTAAGGAGGAATAACACCCAGGGCTGTCCTCTGGCCTTGGCAAATATGTGCACACACATGCACACACGAATGCCTGCTGCACACACAGACATACTCAAACTCTGCCTGTGAAGTTCCCAGTTCCCGGAATCCTACCTATAAGACTTCCAGAGAGGAATCTACAGCCATGGTGGGCTCCAGACACATGGCCGCTTGCTCACAGCTCTATCCCCTCACTTCACAGGCTGGCAGTGAAAATCCCAGCGTCTCCCTCCATGTGATCGGCTTGAATGGACCCACCCACGACCTGGAGATGGTGCCGCCCGATGACCCACGAATGAGGTTGGTTTCTTCCCAGCCACTGTATAGGAAAGAACTCACGTGGTCTCTGGTCGCATTAGCTTAAGCTTCCGAGTCTGTTCATTGTGATGTTCTTGCTGATAAGTTATTTGATTTCCCAAAATGCCAGGCTGGTGTTCCTTACCATCTAGGTGGCTCCGCTGGGACAACATGTCCAGCCAGTCCCTGATCAGCCAGGTCACTCACACGGCAGACAGATGACTCCCACTGAACGACCTGGTGCAGGTCTTCCAAGAAAACCATGGAGCCAGATTTCTGTCAGTGGCTCTCCATCTCAGAGCAGGATTTTAGAGTGTCTCTAACTGAGCAGCTCCAGCAACCGCCCTGTTAGAAAAGGCCAAAGCTCCCAATGGGTAGTAACTGTGTTCTTGGAAAAGACATGTGGAAAATGACATTGAGGTTTTACTGTAAATGTCTGGTTTGGGTAGATGCTTTTTGTCAAATCCAAGCAGTTGAGTGGGATCAATCTAAGGGACATGCTTTGAATATTAGTTTAGCTTTGTCCTTGAATTGAAGCAATCTGGGACCGATAGAGTCCAATTACAAGGTCGTTATTCCTCTCGTAAGAATACTGGGTGAGGGAAATGCAGCACCCAGGGCTCATGTGTCTAAGACTGAATTTCCATAAAATGAGCTGTTTGAGCCAAGAACATCCCATTTTGGCATGTCTAGCCCGAGTCTTCATGATTTAGTCACAAACTCCACATTATTAGACATTTCTGGTAGCTTCGGGAAAGGCAGGAGCCGTGCCACTGTGGTCCTGGCTCTCCCTGGGGAGTATTCTCCACCATTTGCTCACCATCCTCTCCTTCCTGACCCTACAACCCTCTTTGCCCTGTGTGAAGCTTGCTTCCCTCTCATGGTGGGTCACCAAGGCCAGTGGTACTCATTGGACAGTAGTAGGCACAGCTAGCTGGATGGACTGGGAAGATGGCTGGACTCAGCAGAATTCTGCAGGGCTCTTGGGCACTTAGGGTACAGAGTGAGGAGAATACACTCAAAGAGAGCCTAGGCCTCCCTTCCCTGAGGAATTCTACTTAGACTTTCCAACCCCTTTCTTCAGTGGAAGCTGGTGTTATGGTCACCTCAAGGGGAAGGGGGCAGACTAGGCTTGGAACTCCAGTGCTATGTAAAGGGCTCGCCTCTTCCTTTCTCTTCCTATCCTGGACTCCTCTTCTTCACCAGACAGGCTGACATCCCCTCCCCCTGAGAAGCTCCTGAGTCTGGGCCCAGGCAGCTTCCTAGGGCAGGATGATGACGACCCATCACTGGGCAGACCACTCTGTGTGCACTGGGTGAGGGAGACCAATCGATTGGCTGGTGGTATTTTTGCTGGGATAAAACAGTTCAGACCAGTGCCTCTGCATCTCTCCTAAAATCCGTCTATTTCGTAGTTTTCTTCTCAGCCAATCCCTGCCAAGCCTCCTGGGGCCTGGTCCAGCCCACGTGCTGAATTAATATGGAAAGTCACCTGGAAAACTTCAGCCATCTGTTTGAGTTAATTGAGAGTCTCATTTAGTCAATTTGGGGATGCTGTTTCCACAGGCTTGATTAGCTTCAAGGACAATGAGAAACTGTTAAGAGTCAGGACTTCAAGCTTCAATGCTGGGTTTCAGGTCTTCTGCTCGCTCTAATTTCTTAAGCGAAATGTAATAATGTGCTTCATGAACAATATAAATTTGTAACATGCAGGTGCCCCACCACCCACTGATCCTCCGTCACACTTCCTTGAGATTTTCTTTAAGGTGAGCACAGACGCATCAGAACATGAACTCAGTATAAGCACACAGCTGGAGTTTGCCTGTCTCTGACCAGGCACCAAGAGTTTAGTGGTGAGTGATCTCAGAGTCCACCATGTAGAGGGAAAAACTCAGGCAAGTCGGTATGGTAACAGTTGTGGGCCTGAAAAGGATCATGAAGGTGTGTGGAAGAGGAGACCACCCGCCTGGGTGACCATGTTGCAGGCTAGACCAGAATTTCTCAGCTTCCGCACTAAATAAAATCTGGGGCCTGGTGAGTCTTGTTGTGGGGCTACCTTGTGTGCGTTGCAGAGTGCTGTATGTCGTGATCCCTCCCTGCCCATCCCCTAGTCATGCAGAGCAAGTATCCTGGTTCAGTAAAGCTCGAGCAAGACAGAGCCCTGCTGTGTGCAGTGAGGGTCCTCAGATACACAGAGCCCTGTGTGCAGTGAGGGTCCCTGCCGACCATCTGGGCTCACATTCTGCCTTCCCGTTTTGGCTAGCTAGGAGTATTAGTGGTAGGAGTCATGTTGTGGTCTCAGTGCAAGGCTGTTGACCTCGTGTGCTCCTATCTCATCTGTCAAACGGAGCCATGCAGTGACAGAGGTGTTCAGTCTCCTGGGTGGCTGTGGAAATGCCAGGAGACGATGCAGGGAGCACAGGCCTGGCTTCAGCAGCCATGGGTCTCCTGGCTGGGAATAGTCCCTGCAGGCCAGTCTCCCGTCGTGACTCCCCTCCTGTCTCAGAAGTTCCGGTTCATGTAGCTCTGCCTGCCCTGGTCTCCAGCGGCCGTTGTCAGTTAAGTGGTCAACTTGAGTTGAAGATTTATCTCAATACTTAATAAAGGATGCAGAAAGGTGTTTAAATGAGTCTGGAGAGCATTTGAAAAGTTGAGTATATACAGGCAGTTTGGTAGTCATGCACCACTGAACTGGCTGGGTTACGGCTGGTCCAGCAGGCAGAGCTCACAAGAGTCTTCTGCCCCAACAGAGTTGAAAGCTGCCCAGTCAGCCAAAAGTCCAGTCCAGCAAAGTACAGGATACACCTCTGCCCTGTAACTGGAATTATAGATGGTTGTTAGCTGCCTTGTGGGTACTGGAAACTGAACTTGGGTCCTCTGCAAGAATAAACAGTGCTCATAACTGCTGAGCCATCTCTCCAGCCTCTTCATTTTGTTTTTAATAATGTGTGTATGTGTGTCTGTGTGTGGATATGTGCACATGGGTGTAGGTGCCTGTAGAGGCCAGAAGAGGGCGTCGGGTTTGAAGCTGGAGTCGCAGGCAGTTGTGAGTTGCCGGGCGTGGGTGCCAGGAATTGAACTCTGCAAAAACAAGTGTGCTCGGCTGCCGAGCCAATGCTCCGGTCCCAGACCAGCTGCTCTTACCCCAATTTCTAGCCCACTTAGGATGTGAAGTGGGTGAAACAGGAACCCTAACCCCCTCATCCCCCCCATCCCCTGCATGTAAGGCTGTACCACCATTCAGTAACGGGGCCTGAATAGATTAATCTACAAATTAGAACCAAAGACCACATTCCTATAGAATTTTGATGGCAGGTTTCTTCCTTTGTCCTCGACTCTTTATAAGAATGAAGACCTTTTTAAGTATTCAGCCATTGGTGACAACCTCCATCAAGAAAAAGTAGGCGGGGGGGGGCCTGTCCTGTGAAGCCTGCCCTTGAGGGTCTTGGAAGGGACACTGACGGTTCATTGTTGTGGGGGGAGGGATGGTTTAATAGTTTTGGAAGCAAGACAATTTTTTGAGAAAGAAAACTTGCTTTTTTTCTGCATCTGGTCTGTGACATGCCAGACTTGGAGAGAACATTCCAGTCTGTGCCAAGCGCCCTCTTTCACATATATGGGGTGCGCAGGGATCTCGGGGTGCCAGCTGCTAGCGTGGCGCCGGTCCCCTGCGCACACCTGGAAGGCGGCAGGTCCCGCGGCGTCTGCTCCGCGTTGCTGGCAGGTCCCAGCTTCTCCGCTGTGGATCCCTCTGCTACTGGGGCTGGCCAGGTCGAGTTCCGCCCCAATTTCACCCGTGCATTCTCTCTCTAAGTTCGGGACCCGTCAGCTGCCGGGTCACGAGGAGAGGTGCGGGGTGGCTAAAGCTGGGTTTCCGTGAGTCGATGACGGAAGGATAGCGCCCCCCGGAGAGACTGGATCGTAGGCAGTGAGACACAGGATTCAGCTTTCCGTGTTACAGCTCTTTATTAAGTGGCTCTGCTTGGCTCCAAGTCTCAGTGTCCCAGCTCTAGTTCCTAGTGATCTAGCTCCAATATTGAGAGAAAACCAGGACATTTTATACCGTGGGGGTAGTGGTAAAAAGCTTTAGCTGATAGGTACTTTGTGGGATGCCCTATTTACATATGGAAGTGGGCTCCTGCCAGGCTGCCAGACTGCCTGAAAATCACACAGGAAAAACCTGGCATTTCCAGAGCCGGAGGCCATGTTTCTGTGGCGGCTACTTCAAAAGACGAGTCAGGAAGATGCCAGAAAAGCACCCTGTTGATAAAAGAAGTCCCTGCATTTGAAGCCGAGCCCATGGGCTATCCGGACATGAAGGGACTGCTACTTTACACAACAAGGGTCCCCAACATCTCCTCCTCTTTGATTTAAATATGAAGAAGTGCCATCACCAGCCCTAAGGGCCAACTCAT